AAATCCTAAATCCTAAACAAATCCTAAATCTTATATTCTAATTAAATCTTAAATCCTAAATCCTAAGTAAAATCTTAATTAAGTCTTAAATCCTAAATCCTAGATCAAATCCTAATTAAATCCTAAACAAATCTTAAATCCTAATCAATTCCTAAATCTTAAACCAAATCCTAATTAATCTAATTCTAGGGCAATTTAAAACCTCAATATCTATCAATTATATCATTAATCTTGCTTAAGATTTTTTTTTACCTTTCAACAATTAAGTAAGCAATAAGCATACAAAATTTAAAGATAATTGTACTTATCAAATTGAAAGAAAATTCTAAAATCTACTTGGGTATTGGCCAACCTCCTACTCTAATATAAATGTTGAATTTCTAATGCCAATATCTCCTTTTCAAACCATTCAATTATTTTCAAATTTCACATATATATATATATATATATATATATAGTTAATTAAGTCTATTATCTTCATACATAAATTTCACTCGAATCCAACTAGAAGATTGCTAAATATCTTAGAAATTCTAACTGCCCTTTAAAGTCCAATTTCCAAGATCTCAATCTACTTGAAATTCAATAAACTTCAATTCAACTATTCAATCAAGTTTAAACTTACAACATATACTTTTTAAAAATAATCCCTAATTAATTGAAATTGTGATTGTTTGTGCAAAATCTAAGCCAATAATTTGCTAACAATCTATGAAAAATTGAAGTGCTATACCATCACGTCTTGGAGCTTATTCTATTGCCATATAACTGATAATCAAATGAAGTTTTGTAGTTGATATAGATTTCTTTAATTCTTCAGTCAAAAGTCAAGAAATTTAGTTTTGAGGATCCTTGAAGTTTTCTTGTTCAGCTACTATCTCTATTGCTATCAAAGGCATTCCACAATATAATATAGTAAAGTAATCTTTGCACTCATCTATCATTGCAACCTATCCCGTGATGCTAGTATCTGACTTCTTTAGCAATTCAATAATATTGGATCTAATAAGTCTTTCACAAATTGCAAAAAAAAATCCTTTAGTCATAGAATTACCTTTGACTTTCCATTAAAGTTTCAATATATATATATATATATATATATATATATATATTTTTTTTCTCACTGAACTTTGTAATTCGGAATTATAAAAAATCTCTTGTAATAATTCTTACATTGAGTGGAGAATTGAGCAACAGAATTTTTCCTACCTATGGAATTCCTCCATTTTTTGTTTACTAAAATCTTTATATCTTTACATAAATTGTCTAAGCCTAGTAAAAAAAGATTTAAAAAGAACAATGGTCAGCTTTCCAAATATGCTTCACCATTTCTTTTATAGCTGAATCTTGTAAATAAGAAGTATTCATTTTGTAGAAGCCCTTGTTGTACACTACATCCTCTAAAATAAGCTCAATGCAAATTGATAAGTGATCAAAGAGTGTTGAGTCTACCAAAATTTTGTAATTGCACACACCCTTCCATAAGCTAAGATTAATATGTCTTGAGATATAATGCCTATCTAAACAGCCATAATTCTGCTCCCATCTTTTCTTTTGTTGTTCCATGAAAAACGTAGCTTGTCTTGGAATTGGAAGCAGTCAATAAGGTTAAATTGATTTTTGAGTAGTTCCCATGCAACGTTGTTAAATTGATTTTTGAGTAGTTCCCATGCAACCTTGTTAAATTGATTTTTGAGTAGTTCCCATGCAACCTTGTTAAATTGATTTTTGAGTTGTTCCCATGAATTCTTCTAACACATCGTTAACTTCTAGAATCCCCGCTTCTCAACCCAAAGATTCCCAACACTAGGTCACTAACTCCTTGCCTCTCCCTCCATAAACCCAGATTTACGGAACTTTCCAAAAACTATTCAGACACTCTGGCGAACACAGTACGGTTTGCAGAACAGTGAACACTCTACACAAACCTAACGACAAAACTCACGTCCTCTTCGTGGTTGTTAAACTTTTGTGGCCCCATGTCTAAAAGTCCATATCAAGTAATAATTTAGATGCTCTGCTGCTCTATGATGAATGGTACCAAAAACTGCCAATTAATACCACCAACACTGCACAATCCATTATGGTGCAGAAGCCAGCGAAAGCGATCATCTCCGCGACGAAGTTATTAAATTAGGACATGGAGTTGTCGAGTAGCCACGTGCACTTATTCATAGACAATCACAACGTTGCCGTGTGGTGAAAAATTCTCAAGCGCAGAGATGCCTTCCAACCTTATCAGAACACTTCTCACAGTCATCGTCCTTGTTGCATGAATCGACCTAATCGGTAATTATGTCGAGGAGGTTGGGCTGGCACTTGAGACGCCGAACACGTGATGCATCGGGACGCTGAGTTGGGTAAAAAAAGACAACACCAAAACCAAAACCACATTAAGAAAAGTGCGATCTTTGCAGTACATCCACACACGGGAACAGACTTAGATGAGTTTCTGAAGTTGGTATTCATCCAACACAAATAATTTTTCAAATAATTTTTCATCTGGGCAGATATTTTTAATGTGATTGTATTGGAAACGAAAGAATGTCAAGTTTGATTCATGGAAGGGTGGTGTGAGAGAGGTGTCATCAATGGGGAGAGCTGGGGCAATGAAAAGAACGAAAAAAAATAAAATAAAATAAAACACCATCGCAAAATTATTAACCTTGTTAAGGTTTAGACTCGCAGCCTCTTGGTTCTATGTGGTCATTTTATCTATGTTATTGAGTCTTTATTAGTGTTAATAGAAGGTATTCAAGACCTGGAGTAGCCTTTGTCAAAGTCAATGGTGTAAGTAAGGAACATATTTTAATTATTACAATCTAAAAGAATTTTAATTTAAAAATTAAAATCAATATGTACTTCCACAGATTGAAATATTTACACGATATATATACACACACACAAACATATATTACAATGAAACCTACCTGCTTATTCAAGAAAGGTTTAGAGTCACACCCTTTCAATGTAGATGTAATTCGTATCGTAAATCTATATTAACAGTTTCAACACAAAATTCTTTCTTCAGTGGGATGGGTTCCATCGTGTCGGCCTAACTTCGGAAGAACACCAAATACACACAGAGAAGGTGCTAGAATCCAGAGTCCGCAGGGACAGACACAGCCTTGGCCAAAGGTTGCCCATGACGCAGCAACGATCGGTCCTCACTGCTCGGAGGTGACAAGGGGAAGGACGATGATGCTGACTGCCTCTTTCACTGTGCTTTCAAAGCAGTCGGGAAGAAGCACATGAAGCTCAGCCTATCCTACTAATGGTCCCCAAGCAGCCTACCGCAGTGGTGCGGGACTGCACCCTTATAAATTGCATGGCTGTCGCATCTTACTCCAAGCAGGGGGGGTTGCACTTGCATCTGCCGTGTGGCGTTGGTAGATAGAATCATGCTGACAAAACTCTGCAGGTAGCATGTCTTACAGAGGATGCTCTCCTGGAACTCATCGACCCACTTGGTCTCGCATGTCCGGGAGCGTGAGTAATAAAAAAAACCTGGGTTCTAAGCTCTGCGGGTTTCTCCCATCTCACTGAAGCACAACTGGGTCCAGAGGTGCAAGCTTCTGAGAAAGTCTGAATCCTTCATGATCTAATCAGCGTCTTCACTAGAAGCACTCAATGTCCTGGCTGTAGACTTCACACCACTCTTGCCCATTCTCTTATTGACCGAGTTTGTCGCTCACTGTAGCGAACAGCTTCGAAGCATGAAACCGTAGTACAGCAGGTATTAAGCACCTGGTTAAGTCGTTAAGGCTTTAATGAGGGAAGAGTCGAAGAAGATTAAACCACAGTGGGCAGACATGTCGCACATTTCAAACCTAACAGAACAAAAGGGCGATCTTAAGAGCAGTAAAGCAAACGGTTGCGATCAGAGGCCAGTTATCCAAAGACCTGGGCGCCAACTCAGCAACCTGCCCAGTTGTCTCTGTTGTGCTTCTCCGCCGAGGAATGAGAACTTTTTGATCTGTATTCAGAAGCTGGTATTTTTCTTGTCGAGAAGTGCAAAGTGGAATTACTGACGAGGGTTTTAATGAAGCCTTGGGGGTGAGGAAACCATCATAATGGTGACAATGGTTGAATTCAAAACTTTATTGTAGCTGCTGGTATTCGTGGGATGTGATCGTGCGTAAACTGCTCCTCGGATCCAAACCTCACAATTAAAGTCCCCACACTTGGGCTAGTCACCATGCTGTGTTAAATTTGAATAGGTTGATAGGATCTATCAAACCACTTCCAATCGGGAGTATGAAAAAAGATGAAACGACCTGTGATTCAACAACTGCGGTTGCAAGTATTTTGAGATGATCAGTGATCATTGTGCTCTTACGGTCTGAGCTGTTTGTGATGGGCATGGCTCTTGATGAACACGGATTGATCAAGGGCCTTCACTCGAAGAAGTTTGTACAGTGTTGGACTGTATTGTGTAACAAGCAAATATATGTAGTAGATTTGGTGAGGGGTGCAGAGAGAGCGACTGTTTCAAATCGTCTTTCCTGTTTTTCGTTTTAAAATCTCCCAAGTAAACGCTTGGAGTGGTATAAATACTATCAATCATGAAAGCCTTACACACATGTAGGACTAGTTGAGGCACACAGCGAGCAGGCTCACTCAAAGGCACACTCATCACCGCAACTCTTTCACCCCGAACAAACTCTGCTACACACTATATCATTGCAGTCTATGAATGATAGAGATGGTGAAAAAGCATGCAGTGAACCTCCACCGCGTATTCTTCATCACTATATTTGTATGAAACAGTTGCAGAGGCGAGGACTTACCACTTACTCATAATCCTCATCATACTTTCTTTTTTCTTTTTCTTTTTCTCCCGATTTATTGACTTTTGCACCATTTCGTGTTCCACCAATTGTGCCCTCCCATGCAAAATTACTGGGACGCTGCCAATCCCTGACGTAAGGACTCCATCTTCTGCTGACTTAATTAATCACCCAGATAGTGCCTGGAGATGTATAAAGACCACTTCGCAAGGCCAACAGTCTTATAATAACAGGCAGCCAGGGTCGAATGACTTAAACGTCTACCGAATGGCGACCGTTTCGTTACAGGAGCCAGGACTAGTCGTCGGTCTGTTCCTGGGAGCACCTCTGCTGCTTTTCCTCTACATTTTGTATTACGCAATATCCTTGCACACCACTTCCGTGGAGGGCGTAAGAGTTCCGCGAGGAAATTTCTGGCTGCTGCCGTTACTTGGGGAGTCAATAAGCGCGCTCACCGTTCCGCCGAAACAATTCATAGACCGTCAGACACGAAAGTATGCCACCGTGTTCGATGACTCTCGAATTTGCCGAAATAATACCTCGTTGTTGATTGTGCATTTGTCGATGACTTCAGTCATGCCACTTCGGCAACCAGTTCACAGGTTTCCTGGTCGAGTAGACTCCACGCGGAGGTCAATCTGAACGCCTGCCCTTATCGGGAATCACTCCATCAATACTTTGACAAGCGAGTTCCCTGTTTGCTTATGGTTGTAGGTATGGAGCGATGTTTACGACCCACATTGGCGGAGATCCGATGATCATGACAACGGATGTGGATCTAACCAGGTGGGTTTATCAGCAGACAAACAGGCTCTTCTCGGTGCTCTCCCCCAAAGCGACCTATGAACTCTTGGGGCACGAGTCCATCTTCTACGCCAAAGGAGATCACCATTTGCGTCTCCGAAAGGTGTTCGCAGGATACCTTTCTACTCAAAAACTGGTACCGTTCACCCCAAGGATCGATAAAATGGCCGCTTCGATCATGGAGTCGTGGAAGCGCAAGGAGCGCGTCATTGTGTTCGACGAGGCTAAGATGGTAAAAAGAAATGCATCCCGTGGATTGATTGATTAATTTTTTTACCACTATTTTTATTTATCGTTACTATTTTTTGTAGCAACGTGCGCCTGGAGTTACTGACGAAATCCGTATTCTGTGGTTGCAGTATGCTATACATCTAGCATTGGCTCAACTGATTAGCATAGACACTCAAGAATATCCTTGTATGGACCACATCTTCGCCCACGTCCCTGGAGAAAATCGACTGGAGAAGCTAGTTTATTTGCATTACGACATTGAGTCTGGAATGATGTCAGTGCCGCTGAACATTCCAGGCACAGCGTACCATAAAGCCAATAAGGTGAGATACACTCACCGAATCAATTCCATATCCTTCAAAGAACGAATGTCAAGAATGTTGAATGTCATAGGTGCTTGGAGGATTCCAAACTTGTAATAAATTGAGGCTATGATCATGCAGGCCAAAATATTATTTAGGAAAGCATTGAAGGTAATCATCAACGAAAGAAGGACTGGGGACGTGAAATGCAACGATCTTCTGGAGGGGTTGCTGTCTCCGCTGGAGGATGGGACACTGCTGGATGATGAACAAGTGATGGACAACGTGATAACTGGGGTTGGGGCAGCGGAGGTCACCACCACGACGGCTCTTGTTTGGATGGTCAAGTGGATTCAAGAGAATCCGGAGCTTCATCGCGAACTTCAGGTGCACCGACCCTCAATCTCTCGTTAGACAAATAATTTCTCTGCCACATACCTTTGTGAGGACAATTCTGGCTGATGCGGATTGAAGCCGATTACAATAGCAGCGAGAAAGCAGTGGAGAGGTGATAAGCGATTCTTGCAAAAATATGAGTGGATTACACCATAACGGCAAGTTGTTTGCAGAATGAGATGGATGCTATCAAAAAAACGAAAGCCAATGGAGAGGAATTAACGTATGACGACATCAAAAAGATGAATCTTACTCTCTGGGTACGTGACCCAGCAAACGTAATATTCAGTAGCTCAATTTCGTCGACATTAGCTAAAATTATGCCTTCATCATCTATACATCTTTCAAATAGCTCATGTTTCACATACAACACTTCCCCTTCAACTGCTCGCAGACCATGTACGAAACGTTGAGATTGCGCAAGGTAACGGGTTTCTTCATTGCAAGAACGGCAGACCAGGACGTACGATACAAAGGCAAGTCTTCTAGACACAGTTTCATTGGTGCCTGCAGATGTTTGTCTGCTATCTGGGATGTCTGGGATTATCATCATGCTTTGGTAGGAAAATGAAATTCGAAGACTATCTACCGGAAACGTCTCGCTCTGATTGTTGCTCGGTAGTATGGCACCCGAAACAGAATTCTGTTGTTACCTCGGCATCACCGACACTGTGACGATCCCGAAGGCTTCGTGCTCTGATTCTCTCACGTGCGGTGGTTTACTTTTAGGGTTCATAAATTGACCGTGTCAGATCCATCGAGATTTTTGCAGTCACGTAGCACAAGATTATACAACCTCAAAGGTTGCTCAGATGACATGAATATGACCCTGATGATATGAATGTCTCTGTGACAGACGTCGTTATCCCCAAAAATTGGGTGGTCGCCATGACGCACGGATATCACCTGGATCCAAACTACTATCCTGAGCCAGAGAAATTCAACCCTTACCGTTTCCAGGTGAACAATACTGCCATCTTCGTAGTCTAGAACAAGACGTTTGTCACTATAATCTCAGATTATTTGATAAGGAACAAGATTCTCAAGACACTAAATTCTTCAACCAAGTGTGACATTATACAGATTTATACATGAAGGAGATACCAATTGGAGATTAAAGATTTTCCCGAAATAAATTAAACCCCCAGAAGTAGAAAGAAGAAACCAGATTGTGGGGGCGCAACTCCCAACATAGCAAAAATCAAACTGAAAACAAATAAACAAAAAAGTTCGAATTCCGGTTTCTTAATCTTGCAAACTCATGAAGCACTACTGGGTCTTCTCCTTGCAGACGATGCCTCCAGCCCACACCTTTACGCCATTCGGAGCTAGCGTGAGGCTCTGCCCAGGAAAAGAGATGGCCAAGATTGAGATCCTCACCTTCATGTATCACATGCTCACTTCATTTAGGTGTCCCCACTCTCACATCTCTAATCTAATGCAGAGTGAAGCTCAGCTTCCACTTTGAAATCCTGATCCTACTTTGTTGTTGCTTTTGCTGCTGTTTATCTCATTGTTTTCATCATTGTTATACAGCTGGGAGCCTGCTGAGCCCGAGGGAGAGACCATCTGGCATTTGTTTCCGCACCCCAGAAACAAGCTGCCGATCAAAGTCACACCTCGGACTTGACGATGCCATGACTCCGGGATCTAGAAACAAGGATTGCTCGGTCCTTGAGAAGGACCCCATTTGTAGATCATGAGATTCCATGCGCCTTGCGCTGTTGCTTGTATGCATGTACACCACTACAGTGAAATGGTTTTAATGTCTTTATTACCATGAAAAATTTACAAACACAACATGCTGCACCTATTCCAAATCTTAATTATACATGCATATATACGTACAGACAGATGGAAGTTTACAGAAATGTACAGTAGTTTTTTCAAATGTACGCTGTTGCAAGTGGAATCTGTACTGTAGCATATAAATGGCGATGCTTTCTCCACCAACCTTAGGTGAAGTATAATTGTGTACTCTGTAACGCACGGTGCAGCTTTTAGCACTTTTAGATAGCTGATGCGATTTGTTTCTTTTTCTTTTTAAATCTCCTCTTTCTGTGGTGTTGGGGATTTTCAGTAAAGGATAACAAAGCAAAAATTGCTTGTTACTAAGATTTATTGGTTTTTTGAGGAAATAAATTGGTTAAAATCAAATCATCTTTCTACTGTTAGTATATTATTTTATTTTTCAATCGTCTAATGGATAGGAAATGTCAATTTCTAGAGACATTTTTATCAATCTCAATGTGATGTAATGCATGGATGTCACCTGCACGATTTGTCAATAATTTTGTATTACCAGGGAATAAAATAATAAACTGGAAAAGTAACATGTACAAGGAATGTCTACTTTCTTCTACAATCTTTTGGCTTATGCACATCAAATTTTTCCATTTTTTCTTCAATGTTTTAATTAATATTAGAATCTTATTTTATTTTTTAAATCATCAAGTTTTTCAATACATAATTTTAATTTTAATCTAACAATAATAACACAATACATTATTAACCTTGAGACAATAGTAATTTCAATAAAAGATTTTAATCCATTAAATGGTCTATTTAACAACAATACAAGGAATTGCAACTAGAAAAGGAAAAAGAACAATAATAAGCATTAAGAAAATATTTTCTAGGAGACTAAATATCCTATTTAAGATGCCAATATATTATAATATACATATCAAATCTACAAGACTAAGAAAAATAATGTATATTTGTTACATTCTAAATAACAAGCACATGGCATAGAACCAACAATAATAATTTAGTCTCTTTATACTCTTGTCTGTAATAATCTTTTAACTTAAGTTCTTTATTACATGTCTAAGAAAGAATAGAGGATTTAATTTCTTATATAAACAAAAAAATTATAAAACCTCAAATTTAGTCTATTATCTAAAAAATAAAGAAACAAACGAGAATAAATATTGATATATAAGAAAAGTTATTCTTTATTATAGAGCTTGAAATCTAAGTATTAAAATTACTTAAGATGTTGAAGATGAATTCTACAAAATATTAGAGCTTAATAAATACACTTTTAGATTTAGATTTTGAGTAAAGGATATGAATCACAAAGAATCAAAATATGAATATCCTTTTATTTTACTAGAAAAGAATTGATTTCTTCTTAAAGGTAATATAATATTGGAACTAGAATGGCTATTGCCAAAGACAAGAAGACTAGAGACTCCTAAAAGTAGACTAAGAACAAGAAAGACATTGATAAGAGTAAAGAAGGCTTTAAACTTGTTTCTACATATATTATCTAACTAAGAGCTATATTGTTGTGTTACATGTATTCTTGCTTAAGGATGCATTACGCACTTAGATGTGGAAGATAAGTAAAAATGTCACAATAATCCTACCAAGTTTCATAGAGTCTTAAATAAACTTCAAGAAATCTTTAATAATCCTAATCAAACTTTAATCAATCCAAAATAAATGTAAAAGAAATTACTAAAGAAACCTAAAGAAGTCATAACTAAATTTCAAAGAAAAATAACAAAAGAATCTTAAAGAAATATAAAAATAAAATCTCAAAGAAGTAATAATAATCATAAAGAAATACTAGAAAAAAAAATTAAAGAAAAAATAAAAAATCTTAAATAAATCCAAAGTAAATTATAATTCAATTTTAATTAATCTTAATTGAAACCTTAATGAATCTTAATCAAATTCTAGATCAAATCTAAATTAAATTCCAATCAAAATCTTAATAAATTTTAATAAAAATTTAGATCAAATTCTAATTAAATCCTAATTGAAATCTTAATGAATCTTAATAAAATCTTAGGTTAAATTCTATTAAAATATTAATCATATTCTGATCAAACTATAAATCTTAGACCAAATCTAATATAATCCCAACAAGCCTTTAAATCCTAGATCAATCTTAATGAAATCTTAAATCCTAAATCCTAGATCAATCCTATAAAAATCCCAAATAAATCTTAATCAATTATTATAGTTGATTGAAACCTCAATAAATATTAATTGAATCATAAATCTTGATTAAACTTTTACTCACACTTCAATCAATAAGAAATTAATAAGAAATTTTTTTTTGAGAAGATTCAGATTTTCTAATTGCAATAAAAGCTTCTAAAACCTCTTGATTATTGGCCATCTTCCTTCTTCAATTTGAATGTTGATGTTTCAACAAAGACTTCTCTTTTTTGAACCATTAAATTCCTTAAAATATGGAATGTGTATAGTTATTTAGATCTAAATTTATCTTACTAATTTTTGCTTTAATAAAATTAGCAAATATTATCAAATTAAGAAATCCTTCACTGATCCTAAATTTTAATTATCCAAGACTATTACCCATAAAACTCTCACACTCTTCAATCTAATCTCTTGATTGATTTCAAATTTTTCACACATTTATAACAAATACAATTATAAACTAAAAAATTTTCATTCATAAATATGGTACAAAACTCACAACATCATCAAATTTATAAACTTATTTTTATTTATCAAAATCTAAATCCATTGAATAAATTATTACCTTTGAAAATCCTTCAAAATCTCAATATTAATCCATATAATATAAAATTAACTCTTAAAAATATTTTTTAAGTCTCTTTTTAAACCTTGCTCTTTAGTTGACAAAAGAATCTCAAAGTTGCTATAAGTGTACAGTTTTGTGCCTCAAGGATTAATTTTGATCCAAGTTTACAACTAATCTTCTTTAGGTAGTAATTTTTAATAATTTTAGGTAATTTTTGCTCAAATTTATTATTAATTTTTTAAAAAAATACTTATATAATTTACTTATGTCATTTATTTTGATTTAAGGTATTTATATTTCTAAAAAATAAATAGAAGTTATTTTTATAAAATATAATATAAAAATAATAATTTTATTAATTTTTTATTATTCATTATTTTTCTATTACATCTTTGTATTAGATTCTTTTATGATAATATGAATATTTTTATTTTTTTATCATATAGTTGTCTTACTATTCAATATTCAACTCTTCTAGACTAATGCATCTTTTAGTATGAGTAAAAAATCCAAATCTTATTTGATTAATATTATATTTTTTATGACTTCATTTAATTTTTTTTCATTATTTTTGCAATCCAAGTCAAAGAATTATATCTTTAATAAGGTCCTTTATATTTATTTTTGTATATCTTTGTTTGAATATCTTCACTTGCTTCTTTGTAATTGATATTTTAATCTTATTCCATCTAACTCTTGTATTGAATAGGTTGCATTATCATGAACGATTGTTACTACATATGGTCTAAACCATCATTTAGAATACTTCTTTAAAATATTATATTGATTTTTTAAGCTACTATCATAAACAAAGTTTAATCACCTTTTTCAATTGCTTTAGGTTTCAATTGTTGTTGCTTATCCAATTGTACCTTATTTTGTAACCTTGCATTTTTTAATCTTTTTCATGTTATTTGCACATCTTATGATCTTTGTTCAAGTTGAATTCTAATAGCTAAAAGTTCTTCTCTTATCAATTTAACTTTCTATGGTAGTATGATCTAAATATGTACTTTCTCTTCAATTAGCATAATAGGTTTTTCACTTGTCATGAATTCAATAACCATATATTTTATTACTGAATTATTAGCTGTTCAATTAGTTCATAATAAAAATGGCAAAAATTGAGGCCATTTCCTAACCTTTCTATTACAAGCTTTAAGTAATACTTTTACAATGGATAAATGACCATGTTCATTTTTTTTTATTTTTTTATTTTATTTCTTTTAAGATTATAAGAAGTAGTCAATAATAAATTGATTCTATATTTTTCAAAGAAATCACAAGCTTCTTCTGTATTTATTCTCTATAATTTATAGTGATTTTTTTTCATACATCTATAGTAACAAATAACATCTTCAAGTAAAAATCTACAAATTCCTTCTATAGAATTTGTTCTCAATGCTCTACCTTCTATTTGGTTTGATAAATCTTCACAACCTAAGATCAAATATTTTATTTTTTATAATCCAATTGGCATAATAACTAAATCAACAACCCATTTAAATGAATAATCAAATAATGTATAAGATGTAGACCATCTTAATATTATATATTAAAATATACTTGATAAGTTTCATACAATTCTATAAATAAAAATATATCTTGATATATATTTTCCACCAATATCATTCTTTAAGTTTAGCAAAAGTAGTCCAAATTCTCTTATGTTCTGTCTATAAACTATTATGAAATCCTTTAACAATACATCTTAACTAAAATAGGATTCAACTTTCTAAGATCTAAAATATTATCAATTTCATAATAACAACAATCTCAATACAATGTAAGACCAAGTACACTAGAACAAAACTAAAAGTAACTAAATGGAATAGAACTTGAAAGATAAAACTAAGTAAAAGAGATTAGAACTAAATAAAATCAAATAGGACAGAATAAGAAAAAACAACCAAACTTTATTGAGAGAAAGAGTTTGAAGCCATATTTAACTAAAAGTCCAAATGGCCTTAATCAATCTTATTTATACTTTATTCAACTATCTCTAGAACTTTCTCTAATGGTAGACCCTATCAAAATAACTGCCCTTCTAGAAGACTCTAGAGATGTATTTCACCACAATAATCTTTTTAAGCCTTTTAGAAGATTTTATAGTAGATCCTACATAAACCACCACCTTAATCTCAATTCTAAAAACTTCTCAAAATGACTCCAACTACATATTTCTATGTGTAAATAATATAAATATCCTATCTATGCCCTATTATAGTTAATCTCCAATCACTAATATGGAACATCCTCGTTTTGTTCCCGATGGTATTTTCAAATGATTTCTTGATAATAAGTAAGATTTTGTGCAGGTTCCTATATTTTATTGTGGATGGGATAATCTTTTTAAAGTACTTTGTACTGAAGTTGTAGACATCCATTGCCATAACAAAGGTAGCCATGCTTCAATATATTGTCCATTTCATACTTTTTTTAGTCATCAATCACAATCAATGGTGGTGGTGGTAGTTGGTGTCAATTTGGAAAGCACCTTGATTCAATATGAAATTCCTTAAGTTGCAAATGGACCCAAATATGTGGTGAAAGCTTAAGTCAATATGTAAGATCAAAAGTTACTGTAGAAATGCAAAAAGATTCAAGCTATCAAGGTGCTAGCTTACGGACT